GAAATCAGGTATTTGTATAGGTTTTTCTGAACAGGCTTTCAAGTAGCGCATCATTTCTACAATGAGTATATTTTCCAGAAGTATGCTGTTATCGTCCCACCTGTTGCATTCCCCTCGTTTGAGGCCATTTCTATATCGATCGAATGGAGATGGTTGGTGGAATTATGTTCTGGCATCGATCTTTTGGTGAAACTGGCATCAGACTTTTTCTACGAAAAACAGTCGTGGAACTGCGGTGCTAGAAGCATAAAACATGAGTGAAATATTGTGGGCCGCTCCCCCGATTTTATTTCACATCATTATCCTCTCAAACACCCTCATTCTAACTAGTCTCATATCAAACATGGGTTCGGCTCTAGAAAGACGTAAATATCCGAAAAAGACTAAAACTGTGGATATGCTCATGTTCACCAGGATGAACCCGAAGATAAGATAGAAATGGCGCATGTCTGACTGAAAGAAGCTGAGCTGCAGATAAATCGGCATGACATGACTCAGGTAGGAGCGAATGAATGAGTGTGTATTATGAGTCAACATGAACTTATACCTGTTCATTGTGATCATTATCAGTTGATAGGTATTAGAGATGGACAATAACATGTACCTAGTGCCACTCTGAGAATCAGCATTCTAATCGATTCTCCAGAAGATGGGGAAACAAGGAATTGAGCGTGTAATTCTACTCCACCAACCCACGTGGACGCATCTGAATTTTCACGTCTGAACAAGCGAACATGTTCATGTATGACTGATGTGGTTGGTTAGTGTCAGCTCTAACGGCGGCCCAGTAACCAAAGTGTCCTTGTTATGTCGATCGATTGACTCGCCTGTCCGGACTTTTCAGTGAGGTCGCGCCACAGACGCTTGAAACCAGCTGGAAAAGTTCACTTGGGAAATGTTCACCTGTTCATACGTAAAATTCAGATGCGTCCAGCATGTTTTGGTTGAGTGATGATAACAGACTCGACTCGCATGTCAGATTTGAGGAGTTCATACCCCCCGACATGGGCAAGAGCATGCAATGCTGGTGAGCTCTAATAAGAGCGAGACAGGAGTCCAGTGTTTCCACTCTTTTGTACGAGTAAATTGGAATTGGTGCGTCAGGCCAGGAGGACGGCAGTTCAGACGAGAATGATGCGAGCGTAAATACTACAAATCTTGCAACCACCTAAAGCTAGACATTGAAGTGTTAATGGCTTGGTAACCAGTTTTGGCACAGTAAACCGAGCTTATCGATAGATGTTTGCCAGATTTTTGTTTGTCCTAGATGACGAGCGCGCAAGGCATTGCAGAAAGGCCAATACCGGAAAAACTCCTCCTTACACGATTCTCACCCATTTGAGTAGAAAAAGCTAGAACTGGGTAAACTGTAGAACGTTGGAATGGTGGGAGACCGTAGGGCTAATTGTTTTCCTGGTAAGATTCCGAAATGAATCAATCATTGGTGCGTCGTTGAAATCTATTTGCGCATGCTGGCCAACCCGACCCAAGTGCATAGGCTGGTCGTATGCATTTTTTTCCCAAGGTACGGCTATCTCTGTACTTCCGCCAAGGGCTTCGCTGGTTGGTTGATTTTGCGATATCTCTTATAACGCTTGGGATACTGCCAGACTTCAGTGTTCTTTACCAACTTCTAATTATCACAATGAACATTTTCACACGAAAATGTAATCGCCTGATTTATAAACCTCATTAAACTTACTGAAAGAGTTAGTATTGGAGTGAATCACTGATGAATGACTCTATCTAGTCTTAACCAAATTATCACCTCAAAGGTGTAAAAAGAAGGTCGAAGCTTATGATAACCTCACTATTCCGAAAACGTGCTAATTTCCGAATGTATAAACACTAGTAAAGTCTACTGAAACGTTCAATAAAAAGACCTAAGCCCAAAATACTTCATAGACCACCTTATTCCCACCGGCTGGAATTCTTCTAAAACAGTTTGTTGTCTACAAATAATCACTTGGTAAAACTGGAACATTATGACGGATTACTGCTTTCTTAATTAACGCTATTGTCATAGGTATAAAATGAAATCCATCTTTTATGAAGGAAACTACTCGAACGGTTGCTGAAAACTCTTCAAAAGCCCACGACCGATTCTGCCCTACTTTGGGCTCATCAGGTAGGCGTAGTCCCCGAGTTTTCGCACAAACGAAAGAATCGGTTGAGTCATCCTTGAAAACCTAACCAATATGCAAATGAGTGTATTTGGCGAAAATCCCTCTTTTCTTTGTCTCTGAGATAACAGAAGTGGTGGTTAAAAGCAACAAAAACGGAAAGCGAGGTTATATCTTAAATTTATAGTCTGCTTAACATTCACACATAAGCAGGCGAAATAATAGTACAACAGTTTTACTTCTCCTGCATACTTCAGCACCTCTCCTGTATAGAATCGTCAGTTTTGCGTCAGGACTTACCAAACACGATTACTGCATTACCGCCACCTCCATTAACAGCCTCCGTAATTTATGTGCCAGGTCACGTACCCAAGGTGGCGAAAGTAGCTACTAGTGGAAGGAGGAAAGCCACTCGCCGCGGAGGTGCCTGTCAAAAAATCACCAACTAAACAGTTACAAACTATAGAACAGGATAGTAAACCTCTCATATTTACTTGCTCTTAAAAAACTGAATATCTGTCTTATTCTTGTAGGGTCTTCTTGGAATTTCTTGAATTTCCATTGACTATCACGCGATTGCAAATGAATACTGCAGAGCAAATCCACAAATTCTGTAATAAACCCCACCTTCCATTAGACGGAGTTAGGAGAAAACCACATACTACTCGCGCGCCTCATCAGTAGTAGCCACCGTTACACTAGACCACCTTGCTGACCGAGAGACAAAAAGTACTTACATCTGTTTCGACCAATACACTCATTTGCAAATCTATTTGGTTTTGACGGGAAACTCATCTGGAACCCAGCTAAATCCCTCGTTTATGGTGTTTTTATGCAACTGAATGTACTGTACTAGGTAGAAACACGTTTGGCACGATATCCTGGATATCGCGATACATGTAAATATGTAATATACAACTCACATGGTCACTGAAAACTCGTTAACAGACCACGGTTGGTTTCGGCCTTCATCGTGTAGTATGAATGTAGAGGATCGGGGCATACTCACAATGCGTCTAACAATAGTAATCATTGACTCTTTACCATTCTTCAACTGTGGTTTTTAAAGTTTGATCAGCTTCAGAAACCTCGGTCTTTGGATAAATGTTAAATATTGAAAATGTGTCAAGTTGTGCTAAAAGACACAAATGAAAAGAGAGAACTAACCTCAAATAGTAGGCCATATATTTTTTGGGGAAATCCACGTGGTTGTTTGTTTGGATATCGAATTTGAAAGCTAACGGCATACCGTTGGTCTTATTAGCACAAAAACAAATAACTTTTGCGGAGTAACCTTCCAAATTGTCACTGCGGCCACGTACACCTATAGCCAGTTGTGGTTCTCGAACCACACGTAGCAAGCGAGTACGTGAATCAGCGGCACCGAAAATAAGCTGATTGCCACCAGGTTAACCTACATTTTCCCGTACGTAACACAAAATATTTTTCCATTCAGAACACCGTATCCGAGCTTGACAGTTTTCGCGTCAAGTCATTCTGTTGGTCTTTGTGTATCGTTTGTCCGGTGAAATACACTGCAGATTTTGCGCTGTCTCTGTATGAACTCACATATTTGTGCTCGTCTTCAAATGAAGAAGTTTGTCGAGTTTTTGGATGCCAGTGTGTCTCCATCCCCTCTGCCACAGACTCTCTACTAAAGAAAGTGTCCAAACAGTTGTAAACAAAACTCGTCTTGAGCCATCTATAAGTTCCTTTCACTGAACCACATAGCTCTTTACCTTTCATTCTTTCTTCTTCTCAATTGCATCGTAATGCACTTAGTTTTGTCCCCAATCTCAAACAAAGTATCACTTCACAAAAACATTTGATAAGCATCGCTTAAGAATCCTCGTTGCGTAGTGGCGTCTTCATCTGGAAGGCAAGCACTCTACATAGTATGGCGTGAAATTTACGAGCTACGGTTTGACCGCCGGAGGAAACCAGCAACTCTGTTAGCAATTCGTACTCCCATTATGCATTTCACATCGTAGCCCAAGTTTGTTCCTTACCCTTTGAAAATGGAATGCAAAACTCGCCACGACGAGCTGATTCAATTTCAGTATCACTCCGAATACCCCATGGTGACAAGTAAGCTAGATATTTACGAATTAGGTAGCCTCAAAGTCATGTCACTGAATATACTCTGGACGGTACATACACGGTCTACGACGTGATTTATTCCCTAGACTGATATTTAAACCAGTACTTGTTTGAAACTTCTACTCCCGTGGAAAGTGATATCCCAGTTCAAAAGCAATTTAATTTTATCCACATACAGCAGCTTGCTGAAAGCTTCTGAGGTAGTATAACCGGTGATTGTGTTGAGCTGATGGCGAAACAACCGCGTCCTTCTTAATTACACCCTTCCAAGTTGTGCATGTCGTTTGGTATTGGCTAACCCAACTCCTAAGTGACGTGCGACTGATGGTTGTTCTTCCATAAAACTCGGTTTCTAAGACATTTTTTGACTCACTTTTTAGATGCACCCCACGTTTTCCCACATTTTAAATGAGAATAACTGGCCCCGAACATTCACGTCACCAAACGAATCACTTTTGTTCAGTGAATTTGATTCATTCCTCAGAAAACCAAGTTCCGAAATTGCTTCGGAGATGTAAATAACGAATGGGTTACGTGAATGAGCAATTAGCTCACGGACGCTTTCTCGTTCAGCGATTCCGCTTCGTGCGTGTTTTTGATTGACCACTCCTGAAACTTTTATTGTCCATATCCAAACCCGGTTAACATCAATGGTCGAAGTAACATTATAACTCCGGTTTCAAAAGATCTACACGCTCACTTCTCATCGTTCAGTCATTTCACAGACCACCACAAATTTGAGCGCTAAAGAATATAAAAAAGCAAGTATTGCACTAATTATTTACTAAGAGAGGCTTTACACGAGAATAGTCTACAATACTCACATTTGATAACTTCTAAGTATGTTTTGGAATACCTGTCATCCAAAAGTGCATAGATAAATGGATTACACACACTATTTGCATAGCCTAAAAGTGTTACAAACAGGGTGAGTTCGTGAGGAAGTAGTCCAACGTAGGCTTCTAGGATGAAACAAACAAAAAACGGAATCCAGCAGAGGGCAAAACATCCAATTACTGACGTGACTACCGTTAAAGTCTTCATTTTGCGTTTTATTCGAACACGTCGTAGCCTACCATATTGACTCTGTGCACTTGGAATAGAGGCCATGCCCATTTCTGAATTTTCCTGAGCAGCAGATAGAACGAGACTGTCACTGATGTCTGCCATCGGCCTGCGAAACCGATGCAACGAACCACTTGCAAATAGATGCACCAGAACTGAGCTGATTTTTTGGCCTAGCATCAATACAAACACATGTGGTCTACGTCTTCTGACAACTGACGTTTCCGCTGCTCTAGCTGTATGAACAGTAAAATCGGAAGAATGATCCGTTTTCTTTTCCCCGGCTTGTTGTTCTTGTTTACTCGTGAGCAAAGCCATCTCGTTCACTTCTTTGCTCTGACGTTCTGAGTTGATGAATTGTGCTCCTTCATTTTCACATTCCATGGTGATTTTGTCACTATTTTTCATACTCTGCAAACTCCGGCCATCATAGGGTTTAATTTTCAGCAGAGGAACATGGTCCGCAATTTTTCGAACAGTCTCGTTCATGTTGTTCAGATAGCACGGTTCAGAACAAGACTGCAACAGTAAATAGTTTTGAGGTGTTTGTCGCAGAGTAGAACTGAGACTTTGTCGTACTATCTCGGACTTATTCCGTGCGTTGTTTTTTCGATCTTCTAAATGTTTAATCAGGTGGTCCAACTGAGCGCCCTGGATAGAGCTACCCTTTCGGACCGAGTACTTCTGATCGTTTGTGTCTAACGATCCAGTGTGTTCCAAGAGATATATGCTTTCGGGTCTGGGATGCGATTCTATCTCACTCTTATCAGCATGACAGTCTTTGCTCTTCATCATCATGTCCCCTCCAGAAGATTTATGTGTGGTTTTTTGTTGGAGTACAGAACTCTGCTGAGGGCAATTGGGGCGCCTGGATATGTGAGTTGCCGAGGGCGCGGGTCGCCTCCTAAGCGCCACAATAATACGTAAGTAAACAAAACAAATCAGGGTAAGCGGTGCTGCAAAACACATTATGGTGGCATATATCCGAAACGGCCGACTGGGTGATATCATGCAAATGGTTTCTGTGACCAAATGACTGGCTGAACCGAATAACGGAACCACCACAGTTATGACTGGAAGGCCCCAAGCAATGGAAATCATAACGATGGCCAACCGGTTGGAACGCACTGCCAGATACCCAATCGGGTGTGTGATTGAAATGTAGCGATCGATTGATATACAGCACAAGTTGAGGATAGACGCGTGGCACATGAGGATATCTAAGGAGATCCATATGATACAGAGTGGTTTCCAGCTGAACGGCCAGTAACCCAAATGGTTCATAGTTATTGCTGGTGGAAAAACCAGGAGACCAACGAACATATCTGCGAAAGCCAGTGATGCGATCAAGTAATGAGTGGTTCCATGTAGACTTCTGTTCATAATCACAGAACTGATAACCAATAGATTACCAAAAACAGTTACCACCGTTATGATGGACATTGTCAGCGTCGTAAGCATGAGAATCGCTGATGGCCAATAGGAAGCGTCTGTCTTGTTCATTCCCGTAACATTGATTGTAGTCTGTGTTGTAGCCAAGGTTACCGAGATATTTCTCTCAGCATGAATTGTCTCTTGTGTATGAAAGTAAATCCAAACCACAATGAATAATGCCTTCGAATCAGAGCGAGCGATCCACAAAAACACAGAATTCATTAGTTTTCGAGTGAATGTAAACAAAACCAAACATTTCATTCACCGACTAGGGATAAATAAACACAAGCACTCCAACACATATTTATACATGACGGTCAATAATGTTAGGGTGAGGGAATGGTGAGAATTACACGTCGCCAAACTTTCATCCAATTAACACATGGTATTTTCTACAAATAGGAAATGAGGGCACAAATAACTGTCGTCTGTTGTTGGTTAGCTGTGAGACAAACAATTGAACGGTTGTGATCAAAGGATCTTGAAGAATTTATTTCACCTATTCGAATATCCAAATGCAAATTTTGAATATTTTTCATGGAATGAAAGAGATGTTGTTTCGGGACGTTTAGGCTACGTTCACATGGAAAGAACCGTAGTTAGCGTAGCTAAGCTGTCTACTGACATGTTTCAAGCAAATATACAAAAACGTATTCAAGGAACAGCCTAAAATGCGGTAACGTTTGAAGAGCGTTTGTTCGCACAATGCTTCTCAAAAATGCTCTCCATCAGCTAGACGGTTTTAAAGCTCAGAAAAGGCAAGGCACTTCACTCCGGTAGTACATGGATATTTTCAAGTTTTTCGATGCCCGTACTTAGCTGTGGCCCCAGAAAATTGAATCACATTAGTAAATTAGTCTCGAGTGTTCCTGTGGCCAATGCGTTTTGTGCTTTGTCAAGAATAAACAGCTGCTATTGCTTGATGACAAAAAAAGTTGTACGCAAGTCTCCAGTTCGTTCATTCTGGAAAGCACAAGCGAATCATCACTGACTCCTTTGGGTACTTCGCCGACACAGGCTGTTTCCTATTGCCAGTTGATGAAAGTGTCCCGGAATCGACGGTTGCGCGGAGCCCTAGGGGTCAAAAGTGTCCCAGCGATTATTGGAGCATTTTCTGAAGAAAAAACGTAAGGGTATATATTGTCCTAGCAGAAAAAATATTTCAGCGTTTATCTCAGAGGCTATGCTAGCCTGCCCGTCGCATGACAGTAGAGCTCAGGCTGGTGGGTTCGTCGACTCACACTATCAGTATGAATTTAGATTACGAAAAGTAGGGAATTCGTCCTTATTGAGCAGCGTAAAATGTAAATTAATTACTTCTATAAAAATGCATGCCTCTAAACCAGTTTCAAAAACAAGCTAGTTTTTTTAACAACACGGATACGAGGTTATAACGTGAAGTACATAACTACGAGGCAGTAATTCGAAGCTATCCCAAAAAATACTACCACAAGTTTTGCTTTAACGTTTGATGCCGAAAACTCGAACAGCTGAGGGGATTCCGCCACTATATGAAGCTTCGGTTGACTTTTGCCAGTTATCAGGGAATCCGCAACGAATAAGCACCGATGACATAATTCTACTGAGCTACTTTCATAGCCCATCTTCTACCAGGAAATTGCTGCTGAAAGCTAAATGGTTGATGTTCCAAGGATCTTCAAAGAGGCCGCGTTTTGCTACAGATTATCACACTTGGGTAGAGAGTTGTCAGCTCCAAAGCAAGAAAAGGTTCACTGGTTGGCCTATGTCGGATGTATGTTTCTCGAAATTAGGTGTTAGGCTTCACTGATGATACTCCAGTAAGCCTCAATGTTTTTGCCTGATTTCCAATATGCTTGCAGCCTTCTCTTGAATGAGAATGTACCACTTTCAACCCAGGTCTGAGTTCATAGTATAACAGTTTTTAAATCAGATTTTAACCATCGTGCCTAACATACCGAACAGAATGATTCAAGTGATCCACCGTTCCCGGTAAACGGCTAAAACATAGGTCTTATGACTGTGATAAATACAGAATTGAGAATCAAGAGACTGCAATCCTGAGTGAGACCCCCATGGAGAGTAGCGACCATCATCACCCACCAGAAGGTTACGTGATTCGGGCATCTTCTTCAACAGAACAGAATGTACTTTATGTTGTTTGCGCCATTGGTTTTGTGTGAAAAGTACTACATATCCGTCTCCCCAGGGTACTCGTGTGATTGAGAAGGACGTTAAACTGTGTTGACAAGTCTAGTGTAAGCACATTTCAAAAAGTAGTCCCAGTTTCCGTTGGATAGAATAAGACTGGGGATATTTTGTCACCCCGAGCAGACCTCAACTTAGCCTACCGAATTCGAGGGCTGTCATAGAAGTGTCAGCATAATTTCTTTCATTTGATTTAGCCATTCAACCCGCCTATCCCCAACAGCCTATAGAACATCTAAAAATGGAGTGTTACACATCATTTCTGTTTTCTAAAACCCAGGGTTCTTGTGAGATATATTAGTATAGCTGGAGTGTTCGCAGTGAATTTGGAAATTCACCGAAAATCCCCCTCATCCATGGGTTCAGAAGACACGATGCTGTATACTGTGTTCTCTGTTTCAAAGGATGAGTTCTTTATAAACTTCACTATGGATACTGGATTATCTCCTTGAACTCCAGTGCACGAAAAAGTAAAGGTCCCAATTCGCCCCGGTTGACTGCTGGTTCTATGTTGCAGCTAACAGTTTTTTTCAATAAGATTTTATCCTGAAAATGAAGCCAATCTGTGCTGAAGAGCTGAAATGCACAACTGTCTCATTCTTACTGGAAATCACCAGCAGCGTGCATCTCACCAAACTCAAGGAAGTCCAGGACCCGCAACATCTACGCTAGGAGTTTGAACACTTAAACGCTCAGTCAAAAACGGCCGATCAGCAGTGTGATAAATTCAGACTTAGACAGGATATAGCGCCATATCAATCACGGGATGGAAATCACGTGGTCACACGTTTTGACTGGCTCCTCGTTGGACGAGTTCAAAAATGGAAGTTTTATTGCTTCAATGCATCATCATCACGATGCTGATTAGTCACTAATTATCGAACGGCTAGGTGTTCAAACCATCAACCAAGAAGTCGCGTAGTAAGGACTCCCTAAAGTTTCGTCAGATGCGCATTTGTGATGATTCCAAGTAAGACTGAAACAGCGGTAGAGAGCTTCTCGGTTTTTCTGCGTAGTCTGGATTCGCCTACAGGTTCAAATATCCGGTAAAATTCCCAGACACTCCCCCACACTCTCAGTCTTGTTTTTACATCTAGTCATGTTTTTACATCCTAGTCACTGATGCTCGTTGTACGCCGAAGACGATGCTTTTCGGGCCAAGCGATTCACTGACACGTTAGCTCTAGTCATACAAATTTGTTGAGTACAGCTCGTGCGCAACATGCAATATATTGATCGCTTGTCAATATAAGGGAGGCCACCACTGTTGTGATTCTTTCGACAGTGGTGAGGCGAAAAAGGTGGATAATCCAAAGCCTCACACGTCTAAGCTGCAATCAGACATACTAATTCCAATGTAAATGGGAGCCCCGTTTTTTATATCGCGGGTTACGGGCACAATCGACGCAATGGATTTCCGTTGTACAGACAATGAGTGTTTCATCGCAATTTATCGCATCATTTCAACTGTTTCCTTTTCAATTTTCAAGTCCTTAGAATGAGAAAGGACGCTTTACAGAGAACGTGCACACGGTACTCCTACGGGGAAGTTTTGGAGTAAGCCTGATATGCATTGAACTCTACTGCGATTTCCTGACCAAATTAAGGCAAAAAGTCTCTTACTGGCCTACACATTTAATACGAACAGTTTTTACGCATTAGGTGGATGAAACTTTTTGGACACTGAGCAAAAAATCCGGCCTTGCTGTTTTGAGAAATATGTCTGATTTGAATAAGTGCATAAACAGCAATAGTATGCTCACCTAGAAAGAGCGGCCTGTCGTCATCTTCCTCTTACCTTTCGAGGAACACTTCGGTTGTCCTTGAATCGAGATAATCTAACAACGTTTGTCCCTTGGTCATACGATGGTTCGATGCAAGAATTAAATAGCATAAAACCAAGAGATGCGGTGGCTGTGTGCAGACCTTGCATACGCACTCTGAGCGCACTTCCATTACTTCTGAAAAGGTGGCGAATACGTGTGCTTTCAATCCATTATTGAAACGAACACCTTAACAACTACCTTATCTGCTTGATGGACGAACTCCCAGTTGATCCCAGCAAAGTATAGCCGCAATGTCTTTAGACCGCTAGAAAGATCTTATTCTGTCACAGATTGTTTCGGGCCATCTTTAGGCACAATCGGGTTACATCTGAAGCGCCTGGTACAACCATGTATGACGCCCTAGTACGAGCATGTTCAAACATTTACGCTTGTTCGGAAGCAGCAATCCATATACATTCAAAGTGAGTGTGTTAGTGACTGGCAAACCCATGACTTGCACGAACGATAGATAGTGAACAAAGCATGGTTTTCATGAAGGAAACTATGTACAAGGTTGCTGAAAACTCTTCGATAGCCCACGACCAGTTTCGCCATTCTTAAGGCTCATGAGGTGGGCGCAGTTCCCAAGTTTTTATCAACCTCATGTTCTAGCTGAACCCAAATTGGACTGTTAAAACCAAATTGATTTGCAAAAAAAGTGTATTTCTCAAAAACAGTCCAACTTGGGTTCAGCTAGAACATGAGGTTGATAAAAACTTGGGAACTGCGCCCACCTCATGAGCCTTAAGAATGGCGAAACTGGTCGTGGGCTATCGAAGAGTTTTCAGCAAACTTGTGAGTAGTTTCCTTAATGAAAAACATATTGCGCTATCTCGAATATCATAAACGAGAGATTCAGTTGAGTCTCTCCTGAAAACCACATTGATATGCAAATGATTGTATTTCTCGAAAGCACGGTTATTTTGAAATATGCATGGATAACACCGTGAACCGGTTTTATCGAGGAGGATGCGTTTTGAGCGGGCTTTACTTGGTTTGGCCATTCAAGTGCAACATTTTATGGACTTGGTCAGCAGTTGATGGGCACAAACATTCTCTACCTATCCTGGTCTTCTTTTGGTTTAGAGATATCGCAAATGTTCCTTATAATAAGACGTCAAAATGTCTGGCAAATCGGTGCTCACACAAGCGAGATTGTCGGTTACATGCTGTTGGAGCGGACAGAGTGAAATGTGAAACAGAACGTTG